GGAGAGCAGGGTGCTGTGAGCTGCCCCCTTGCTGGAGGGGCAGGAGCTCTGGCTCTGCCCCCAGCAGAGCAGGGTGCCACGAGCAGCTCCGTGCCTGCTGGGGGCAGGTGGAGGAGCCACTGGATCCGACGCAGACGGAGCTGCAGTGCCCGGGGGTGTCCCTGGCACCCCAGAGGGACGAAGGCAGCTCCTGCAAAATTGCTTCTAGGCCTCGGCCTCGGCAGGCGCCGACTCCCGACGGGAACAGGCTGATGTGTTGCACTTCTCATTTTGATTTGTCCCAGCATTTTCCTTTATGGTCCATCATTAGATATTGATCAGTTGAAGCTCATTTTGAGACTCGTTGGAACCCCAGGGCCTGAGCTTTTGAAGAAAATCTCCTCAGAGTCTGTGAGTTTACACTTTGATTGTAATATCTGCCCTGCCTCTCGGAAGTCCCCAGTCTGTGTGTCGCCCTCCTGTAGTCTACCTGTAGTATGTGTTGGGGTTTATTTTCTGTTACTTCTTTGTCATTCTCTGCTCTTGGATGGCTTTGAGTTCTTACACTGTGTGTATCTGATCTTTATTCCTCTTACCTCTGCCTGTGGTATGATTTCTTCCTTCCGTATTCTTATTTTTTACTGCTTCGTGACTTTTCTTTCAATTTGTGGGTTTATACTTCGTGATATATCTTACAATCAGGTGCTGCTGGGGAAGCATTTTTCACAGCTAAGATCTTGAGGCTCATCTCAATTATTATTTCTCCAGATTGCCTACCCAGGGATCTTTCATAACAGGAGCAAGCATGTTATCCTGTAAACACACATGGTCCCATCTGTAGTGTGATTAATTTCTGAAACACCACAGCCACTATCTTTGGGTTTGGAGCATAAAATCCAAAATGCCTTTTGGGTCTGCTGAGGATAGCACGGGTTGCAGGGTGTGTGTTTAAGGGGTGTTGCTGTGTGGGGCTCTCTTATCAGGGTAATCAAAAAAGCTTCCTGCAGTGCCCTTTCTGAAGGGTGGCCTCTTTTCAGCCACGTGTAGGGTGTAGAGCTCCCCAGCAGCGAGCTTTAGGGAGTCGCTCTGCTGGGGATCAGTGCCATGGAGGGCAGTGAGGAGGTCACTTTGTGCTGCAGCTTCTGCTCCTTTTCATGTGGCAGGGACAGGAAATTCAAAGCAAGAGGTTAGCCTTGAGTTTTGTTTGGTGAAGGTGGGTGTGTGGTGCAAGCTGGGATCAGTTGGTCACCTTGCTGAATATCACCCTGATCTAACAAGCCCTGGAGAGGCCAGAATGGGTGCTCTGGGTGCCCTGTGAACTGACCTGAAGGGGAGTCTGGAAGTAGAGGGGATTAGCGAGAGGGATAAGCTTAAAGGTTGAGTGGGTTAAGCAAAAGATTAGTTTGCATACGTAAGATTGAAGTGAGTGGGGTTTTTTAACATTGCACAATAAAAAGAATAATTGCTCCTAGCCAGGTCCAAATCCAGAGTCTATTTAAAAGGAAAACCCACAGTGAAGTACTGTTGCTGCTAATTTTTTCCACTGTATGGAGAGAGCAAAGCCAGGAAGTGTTCGAGGGCCTTTAGTGTGTCACTGGGAGGAATTCTGGTTTTCTGCTGCATGACTTGCTCTTCCTTTCTCCGTCTGCTCACTGCCATCAGCTAACTCTCTCTTATGCAATGCTAATGTTTTGCTAATTTTGCATTTATTGCCTTCTGTCACCTCGCCCACATACCCAAGCGCATTCAAAGCTGTTGAGAAGGAGGTGTCAGTTGTGAGCCCATTTCACTTTGCACCACAAGTACTTTCTATGCAGCAAGAAAAAAAAAAAAAAAAGCTGGTAACCAGTGCAGAGGATACAATTTTCGTTTCTTTTCCTGAGGCTGTATGTAGCTGCAGCAGCTTAGGAACCCTAATTTTTGAGGAGTAGCTTCAGCTAAAGGGAAGATCTACTCTGGTGGCTTAAAGCCATTGGGAGACGCGAACGGAACCGTGTCATACAGTAATGCTGCTTAGGGTGGACAGAAATACCTCCTGTGCTGACACTCTTACCAGCTGGTCAGTAATTCTCTGTTGTTTTAAGTGTTCACTGCTGCAACAGCTAAATTTATCATCATTACTTGAAAAAAATCAGTGGGCCCTGCCTGTCTGGCTTTTGCCTTGCGGTTTGCAGAGCGGTGTGCAGCTCTTTTCTGTTTCAGACGGTTTTTGCACTGTTTTTAACAAAGCCCTTGACTAGGCACTTAAGATATTAACCAGCTTCAGCAGATCATGCGTCTGACGGGAACACCCCCTGCATATCTCATTAACAGGATGCCCAGCCACGAGGTGAGACCTGAGCAGGCGAGGGGGGTTTGCAGGGCAGGTCTCCCCTGGCAGCGCTCGCCGCTCCCACAGGCGGTGTCCTCGTGTGCGGCGTGGGGTGGGCTGAGGCTCGCTGCGGCCAGAGGCTTCTCCTGAATGAGATGTGGAGAGCACGTGCCCCACCACGGAGCTGCAAGGCTCTGCAGAGCCTGGGTGTGAGCTGGCTGGGCGGCCGTGCCAACACTCGAGGCGCTCAGCTCCTGCAGCTCCTCTTTGCTTCTCAGTCCTGCACGAACCCCCAGCAACGTCAGCTCTGCCTCTGTTATCCTGAGTGGCCGTTAAGGAAGGGGTGATGCTGATGGGCTGGGTCAGTGTTGGAATAAATAGAGAGAGGCAAAGCAAGGAGACAGACCATAATAACTGGTCCTTCAGGATGATTGAGATGTGCTTTGTCTTGGTGGCTGGATTGTATTAGACTTCAACAGAGCATTTATTTCCACAGGCAAGAAACTACATTCAGTCTCTGTCTTACATGCCGAAAATGAACTTTGAGAATGTGTTTATTGGTGCCAATCCCCTAGGTAAGGCTGCTTTTAACTGTCCTGCTCTTCCTGAGGCCGAGCCTGGCGTGTCCTGGGACACCAAGACTTCCCAGAGCTCTGTTTGACCGCAGAAGTAGCTCGGAGCAGAGCTACGTGCCGTTTCCAAAGCTCAGAAAGTATGTGAGGGCTGAGGGTAGGAGAGGAAGAAGTTGTGGATGGTGGGTGGGTCCTGAGGAACTGCAAATTCCTCCTCGTGGACGCTGGGGCTTCGCGAGGTTACGTTTGAGAAGCCAGTGTCGCTCAGCTCACGATGTCAAAGCCCTGCCCCTTTCTGCCTGGGTGCCTTTGCAGCTGTGGACTTGCTGGAGAAGATGTTGGTGCTGGACACGGACAAGCGGATCACTGCAGCGGAGGCGCTGGCTCACGCCTACTTCGCTCAGTACCACGACCCCGACGACGAGCCAGTGGCAGACCCCTACGACCAGTCCTTTGAGAGCAGAGAGCTGGAGATCGAGGAGTGGAAAAGTGAGTCTGGGGGAACCCGCCTCCCTCGGGGCCCAGTCCAGGGTTCAGCTCAGCTTGGTAGAGGCAAAGAGAGATGGATACAAAGGTGGTCGTGCTGCTCGTTCTGAGGGCCTTATGCTGGGCGAATCTGTCATGTGCTGTGCACATAATTAGCATAGGCCCTGCTAACTAATTACCACCCTGAGCATACAGACACAGGTAGTTGCTCATGTTTTTGTTTTCAAACTTACATCTCAAGGCTCTGGAGATATCTTTTATTGTGTATATTAGTCTCTGAGGGTGGTGTAACCATTCTTGTCCTCCTCTTAATTAAACCACGTGTTTTGATTAAAATAGCGTTGGAACCTTTGGGATCATTACAGGTTTTCTTGCATGAGGGATGTCTTCAGTCCCACCTATTAAATTTCTCTCATGCTCTTCCCTCCAGGCCTGACTTACGACGAAGTCATCAGCTTTGTGCCACCACCGCTCGACCAAGAGGAGATGGAGTCCTGAGGAACGGCTCTCTTCTGTCCGTCCCACGTCACTGTGAGGGGAAGGCCTTTCCCAGGGACTCTCCAATTATCGTTCAAGTGCCTCGTCACAACAATATTCTCCTTGGTGGAGGGGTTTTGTGTGTGTTGAATTGGGGAGGGGGTGGGAGGGAGGAAAGCCGAGTCTGTGTAAACATGCTGCATGCTCTCGTGTTCTGTGTACAGCCCGGGGCGAGCCTCTGAAGAGCTGCTCTGACCACTCCCCAGTCCTTCCAGTGCTCCACGCTCGCGCTGCTGGGGCGGGGTGGGCGAGCTGACGTGTAGAGTTGGGTTACAATCGTTGCCATTTATCAATTCTTCTACAAATTAAGTAACCTCAAAATAATGGAAGTTGTTTTCTAGGCTTAGAGAGTCCTTTACAGAGTCCTGCGCTCTCTTCAGGACTGAAGGTGGGGTGAGGGATGTCCTTGTTCAGTGCCAGCTGGCTGATTTACGCCCAGACCTTCCTGGTGTGGCAGCCTACAGGCCTCCAAACGTCTGAGTCTGGGAACGTGGAAAGGTTTTGTTTGAAACTGTAAATATGTTTGTGCCTTAAATGAATGGGGAGAGAGGGGAACGGAAGTCTGGAGTGGAAATCTCTGACCTGCTGTTTTTCAGGGTGAAGGCTCCCAGATAGCCAGGCACGAACTCCCTGTGATCAGGAAATAACTTGCTGAGGCAACAGCCTCTACCCCTGCATTGGGTATTCCCTTATTTTCCCCTCCTCTGGTTGTGAGGCTTGCCAGCATTAGCTCCCTGAGACAGAGGCTGGGGGAGATTCTTGCTAGCCACACGTTGGTGTACGTTGCTCCCTGGAGGGGGATGTTCCTGCATGTCGTAGCTGTGTGTGCATGTAGAGCTGCTTGATTTCTGTCACTTGTTTTGGGGATGGCGCTGGGGCAGTGAAACCATCAGTGAACTGTTGTGCTGAGTAGCTCAGCCAGTGCCATGGAATCACAACATCCTTCTTCTTGTGCTGCAGCTCGTGGTGAAATCCTGGCTGTTCTGGAGGGTTTGGGGAGGGAAGGAGAAAATGTCCCATACACATGCACCTTTTCCTGTGTGTGCTGCCATTCTGGCTTCAGAGGAGGAGAGCTCGGGACTGGGGGTTTCTTGTGAGATCAGATGTAAGAAAAGGGTCTTCAAAGAAACAACTAAGGCAGCTTGTGCCAGAATTTAAGTTATTTCCTGAAAATAATTTTTTTTTAGAAGTATTGGAATCCAAAGCAAAGAAATAAGCATGCATAAAGCCACAATCTCCCTTTCACTGTCTATAGCTATAAATATAAATATTTATATATA